TTACTACCGTCTACGTATTATAAACAGATTAAATGAATGAATGATTAAGTATTGACATAAAATACTATCACTTCAATGAATTATCATTTTTTTTTTTTTTCAAGAATCTTATCAAGACGAATGATTAATTTACTTTTAAATCGATTTCGATACAAAAAAAAAAAAGAAAAGAAATTGGAATTTTTGTCTTTATTTGTACAAAAATTATTTCTTTATTATATTATTAAATGAAACAAGTTTTTATGGTTAATCGTGTGTTCAAAAAAAAAAACACATCTGTACAGACACATATATTATTTTTATTATCATCTTGAAAATAATTGATGAAATATGTTCACCCTATAAACATTTGTTTAAATATTCTTCAATGTAAGTCTAAATATAATACGCGATACTTACGTATTAAATGCTGTCGCAGCAAAATTCCGCTAATGCGACAATCTACATCTTAAATTGTTGCGACAAATCATAGAATAAAAAATAATTTTATTTCAAATCAAAACACTTTCAAAATTCAAAAGATATTATTTATAAAAAGTAGTCACACACACCACACAATCGGATTTAGGTGGAAAATGAGCCGATATAGAATTTAACATAGATTCAAAACAGTCTCTATTTTCTTTCACCTGATGCTGTTCACCATAATCCTGACGAAACCCTGACGCAACCCTGACGCAACCATGACGATTGGTGTGTGCAAACAACAAGGTTGCTCTTTATTGGCGCATTAGCGAAATTTTTGTTGCACTGGCGTTAATATTTAAATACCTAATACGCTTTTATATAAATTGTTTATAAATTTGAAAATATATACCAATATATAAATGACGTATTCGAGACATTTAATTATACATTCATAGATTCTCGAGAGTATATAAATAATTGTAAAGACGAATGTGAATCATTGGTGTTAGAAAAAACGAGTGAGTTATAACTCTTGTCATTAACTATTATCTTTAATAGAATCTGAATAATAAAAAGATGAAAGCGTATGAGTATCTTTTTTTTTCTTTTTTTTTTTTTAAATCTTTAATCACAGATTGTACATTATGTACAATAAAACCAATGAGAATAATCTTACTTATAATTTCAAATTACGATCACGATCAAAGAATATTTGAAATTATTTTATACAGAAGGAAAAAAAAAAAAGAATCACAATTTTAACCGCATTCATATTCATTAATCGAACATCCGTATGAATTTGTAATTTATCTTGGTTTTTAATTTTTTTTTCTTTCTTTTTAATTATATCTTTTAACAGATTACCTTTGGTACAAGGTGGTACGATATCATTTTTAGTACCAACACTTGCCATATTAAATTTACCACAATGGAAATGTCCAGCACCTGAAATTTTGGAAAATATGTCTAGCGAAAATCGAACAGAATTATGGCAAATTCGTATGAGAGAATTGTCAGGTGCAATTGCAATATCTTCATTGTTTCAAGTTATCGTTGGATTTGGAGGTAACGAGACAAAACAATAAACGTAATTTATATCACTGTTTCTTTTTTAATTGATTTCCAATATTCAATCATATTTAAATTATTAATAATTAATTTAGAAATTATAATTATTATAACAAAAAACGAATAAATTAATATAATATATATATATATATAAAAGATTTTCGTAAAATATTCTTTTGAATTTGTAAAAATATTAACAGATAATAATTTGATTTACGTATATTAAATATAGTTATAAATATTAAAGTAAATAAAATTGAAGGTTGAAACATTTGGATCTATATCAACTTAAAAAATTTGTATTAACATTAATGTTAATTATATTTATTAATTATTTATAGTTACAATTAATGTATATTATTTAATTAGTTAAATTCTTATTTATTAATTATTAAATTTAATTAATATATTTTAATTAAAATAAATTCTTAATTAATTCTTAAGAATTATGTTAACAATTTTCTTGTATTTTTGTTCGTTTACAAAAAAAAAAACATAATATTTACTCGTAAAATAAGATGTTGAGAAATAATATCAAATTTTGATATGTCTTTAAGGAATTATCGGATACTTGTTAAAATTTATAACTCCTTTAACAATCGTACCAACCGTGTCATTGGTCGGATTATCTCTTTTCGAAAATGCTGCAGAAGCTGCATCAAAGCATTGGGGAATTGCTGCTGGGTATGATACAATATATTTCTTTCTACTTAAAATAATATAAGAAGATTAAAGAATATTCTTTCAAATGATTAACTTTTGAAATGAAATTTTCTTCTTTGTTTTTTTATTTTTTATAGAACGATATTAATGTTAACGATGTATTCACAAATATTGGTCAATGTATCGGTTCCAATAATAATGTATCGTAAAGGTCACGGATTACGAGTTATATGGTTCGAATTATTTAAATTATTTCCAGTAAGTTTATGAGTTATTTATTTATTATACTAAACACATTTGTATAATATTATCTTGAACAATTGAGACAATACGTAGTTATTCGCTTTAACGATAAATTTTACGATATTTCTCGTGTTCTTTCATGCATATCGATTTATTTTCTAAAAGATCGTAAATATTACATAGAAAAATTATGACTTCCTTCTTCTCAAGTATAATTTATAAATCCTATTATGGAAAATAACGATGTATTATTATCCTTAGGTGCTACTGACAATTATAGTAATGTGGATAATATGCACAATTTTAACATTTACCGATGCACTGCCAGTCGGTCATCCAGCTAGATCCGATAGTAAAATTAAAATAATCAGTGATTCTCCATGGTTTCGTGTACCATATCCTGGTCAATGGGGTACACCAACTGTTACTTTATCCGGTGTCCTTGGAATGTTAGCAGGTGTATTAGCATGCACAGTAGAATCTATCAGTTATTATCCTACTACTTCTAGAATGTGTGGTAAGAAAATCATATTAATAATTGATTATATTTAATAAATATGCATATATTGTTTGTATGTTTATTAATATTAATGAATATAGGTGCTCCACCTCCACCAGTTCATGCTATTAATCGAGGAATAGGAATGGAAGGTCTTGGAACAATGTTAGCTGGTCTTTGGGGTAGTGGTAATGGCACTAATACGTTTGGTGAAAATGTTGGCACTATAGGTAAATAATTATTTAATTTGATTAATTGTATTATCTTGAAAACTCATAGGAATATTGAGAATGGAGCATATATATATATATATTATTTTTCGTTTTGATTAGGTGTAACAAAAGTTGGAAGCCGTCGAGTCATACAATGGGCTTGCGTATTAATGATATTGCAAGGTTTAATCAGTAAATTTGGTGCTGTCTTTATTATTATACCAGAACCGATAGTTGGTGGTATTTTTTGCGTCATGTTTGGTATGATATGCGCATTTGGTAAGTTATAATTACAAATTTATTTTTTTTTTTCTTATTTTATAGTTTTAAGTATTCAGTTCGATAACAATTCGTAATTAATATATTTTTGTTTTGTCATTTGTTAGGTTTGTCAGCTTTGCAATATATCAATTTAAACTCTGCGAGAAATTTATATATCCTAGGATTTTCTATATTTTTTCCTATGGTAAGTGTTAATAAAATTATTACAATAATTGCAAATTCTATGATATTTACAATGATTTTGATTTTTTTGTTTTTGTTTTTTTAATATTTAGGTATTATCCAAATGGATGATAAAACACTCGGATGTAATAAACACTGGCAATGAAATTGCCGATGGTGTTATCACAGTATTATTGAGTACAACTATTTTAGTTGGTGGTGTGATTGGTTGTTTATTAGATAATATAATACCAGGTATGATAGATTTATTAATTGAAATAAAACACAATATTGTTTTCCTCATAGAAATTTATTGAATTATATTATTTTGATAAAAAAAAATGAAGGTACCGACGAGGAACGAGGTTTAGAAGCATGGTCCAAAGAAATGGAATTAAATGTTGAAACGTCTGATGAAAAAGAAAGCAGTGAATATATACCAAATACATTTGATTTTCCTTTTGGAATGAAACTATTAAGAAGGTAATATAATTCATTCGTCTTGTTATTTTAACTATTATTATTTTTCTATGTGCGATTCGATCTTCAACTATACTCGCAACGTGACCTGCCCGTCTTAATCGACGTCACTTTATGACGTTAATAATATCCGGACTACTGTATAATTGACTTAATTCTATGTTATGAGATTTTATCTTTGTAATAAAGTAACTAACTATAAAAGAATTTTTTATGTTTTAGATGGAAATGGACGTCTTATTTACCATTTTCACCGACTTATCGACCAAGCCCTGGTATGTGTAGGTGTAGTAGAAAAAATTAAAATGGATGTTGCATTTACATTAGATTACGTTAGAATAAATTTACTAGAAATAATAGATGATTCTTATTGTATTATAAATTAATAAGTAATAATATGTAATTTATATTACAAAATGATGTATTTTTTGCTTAAGAAATGTGCATTCATAAAATCAAATAATAATATGTTAAGATTTATGTTATAAATATGTTCGTTATAATAATATCATTATATATTGTATAATAAAAACACATAAATATATATATTAATTAATTAAGTTTATTGTACTAATAAAACATTTATTAAAATTATTAATAATACGAAAAGCGTCCATTTTTAATTTTTTTTTATTTTTTTCATAGTAAGGTTATAAAATGAATATACGAAATATAATTCAGAAAAATTATGAAATAAAACTAGATTTTCACTAAATAAATACAGAATTAACAAATAAACAAATTTGTTTTTTAAGTAAAATAATAAATTTTTAATGCAAGTCAATGTGCATTTCCTCAAAATTGTTCGGTGCAACAATGTAATTCGATTAACCCTTTTTTTATTGGTCGACGCATAATACGAAATTCGATAAATTACCTCTGATTGGTTGATGCAATACTGTAAGACGAGGGATGTCTTATGATTGGTAGATCGAATGACAGAAAATAATTCTTATATGCATTTCATAGACGATCGTAAAATTAGCGCGAAACAAATCAAATAGTACGAATCGTTATTCGTTTACATGTGTACACAGTAAATAATATTTAAATATTCATAGTATTGTGTAATTAAAAATATAAAAATAAAAGAGTGTAATAATGGCTACTTCGACGGATATTGCTACGGTATTTCTTATAAAATTTTCTTAATTTTTATCAAATTTCAATTCTAACCTAAACAAAATTCTAACCTCTCTATCTCTTTTATATACATAATATTAAAATTAATAATTTTAAATGAAATGAATGCAAAGTAATATCTTTTAAACGATATGAATTCATATTGTGTGTCAGAGTATAATTTTGTAGTATGCATTATTAATTTGATTAAAATATATTTGAAATAAAAGATATAAATATATTTAATAGTATGAGTAAGAAGAAAATTTGATTTTAGATAAGGGTACAAAGATATTTAAGTATGCCATTAGTACAACGATGTCACGAATTGGCAATATTAATAGATGAATCAAGTACTACAGAACTTCAACATGTATTTCCAATGATAATAGATTCTTTATTTGGAATAACAGATAATATTGGTTGGGGCTTGCATCATATTACTTACAAAAAGAATCCACAAGAATATGAAATACTGTATAATTTTCTTAGCCCACTTGGACCAATATTTTCTCTTTGTTATAAATTACTTCCAGATTGTTATTTAAAATATAATTTTCCGATATCATATTTACCGGTAAGTTATATACTTTTTAGATAATTGGATATATACTTCTTTTATATATTTTATATTTATTGTTAATATAATTTCAGTCAAAGATACGTTCAATGTTAGAAGAAGGTGTAATACCACCTTTCTATCTTGATAAATTTAGAGATGACCAAGGTACAAGAGTTCCATCAGCTTTATGTATGAGTATCCTTCTCACTATATTCACACATTACAATTTTTATTTTGTCTAAATATAAACTGCCAAGAAAAAACACATAAATGATCCTTAACTTTATTACATATCCCTTTGAGTATTATATTTTTCATTTTGCTTATCATTTGACAAATCCTTGGCTGCAATTACAACAACAGGAAAATGTTTGGGCAAATTGGGAAACGGTTTATGTTCAATCAGCTCACTATTATTTACATCATTTTTTACCAAGAGATAATACAACGGTTTTACCAATAATTGGGCCCTACATAAAGAAAACTCCTCAAAGAAAATTAATGCATATGCCTGAAAATAAAAGGTAAGATATTATTTTTGGTTGCGTTTATAGTTTTGAATTCTTTAAATTGAAATTAGTGATTTTCATAGATTACAAACTCCACGACTGTTGAGAGCATCAATATTATCACCAGGATCTACCAATTTAGTGGTTGGAGCTCCTCAACAACAATGTTTGCCGCAAGTATGGAGAAGTGAGACAGTAATTCAAGTATTTCTTGATTTTTGGATGGAATACACCGAAGATGATCATATGCCTTCTCAAATGAATATGTCTTATTCTAATCCTATTCCACATCGTGTAAGTATAATAATTATAATATATTTTTGATTTATTTAAACTATTTCAACATAACATATGTTATTATAGCATAGCATTCATTCCGGTGAACATATACGCTTAGTAAGAGCATTTATAAAAACTTTACACGAATTTGCAAATAGTTCAACTGGAGATAAAAGTGCCATGGATGAATTAAAAAGGTATCATCCCTTATATTCTTGTACAGTTATATTACATAAATAAAATACTAACGTTTCATTCATTTTAAAGGATTATTTTACCATCTGTCCAAGGAAAAATATATATATTTCTTCGAAAAGCTATACATCATTGGCCTTTAGACAGTTCATTTAGATTAATATTAGAAGCATGGTTGAGCTTTATTCAACCATGGAGATATGTTCCAGGAGTAACATATACAAAAGAAGGGTATGTATGTGAGAACATAGTATTAATAATATAAAGCTTATATAATATATAATTATAGGAGACCGGAGGAAGAAGAGAGAGGCAAAATACATGATCCAAACAGATGGATTGCATTTGTTGCTAATAATTTATTAGCTTATACAGTAATATTTCAACAATTATTACCTCGTTTTATGAGAACTGATTTGGTAGCACCAAAAAATGCTTTGATGTTATTTAGAGTTACGAAGGTAATAAACAAACTGTTGTATAATTTAAAAACACTTTTTATATAAATATATCATTGTTTTTTATCTTTGTGAAGGTATTTTCTCAACCACATTTAGCAGGAATGTTATCAGAAGTAGAAAGTTGTATGGACGATGCCAATCTTAACAGAAGTCGCATGCAATCTAGTCAATGGACATCAATTGTAGGACAACAAATCATGGAACTTGAAGGACCAACTTATCAATACATTCCAATGTTTTCAGCAAACATTATTACACAAGTATTTATTATTTTCTTATTATTTAATACTGATATAATAAATAGCAATCATTTGTTTCAGTTTGTTAAATGAAAGATTTTGTTTTAATTTCACACACACACACACACAGATAAGCTTTTTCTTAAGTATAATCAAACAAGCACATGTAACAGCCACGAGTTTAATTGAAGCATTGGAAAAGAGAAAAAGTAGTCAACAACTTTTAACTGCCATATGGGAATTCTTTTATGGAGAAGACAATTCATCCGATGATATTTCTATAGAAGAACGTCGTAGAGTTCCATTATTTTTAGCTAACGCTCAACAACAATTGATCGAAATTTTCGAAGTAAATAATATTTTTGTTAATAAAATATAACATTTATAATTCTTCGTGTTCAAAAGTATAATTAAACAAATATGTTATATATATATATATATTTTTTAGATTTCAATAGAAGATATTCCACAAATTACTATTACACCTGATCAAGAATATCATGAAAGTATTCTCTCAACTTCTTTTCATCAACAGTATCAGGTCATTTAAAATATTCTTTTATTATCTTCTTTGTTAATTCGTAAAAATCGTCAACTTTTATTTTACTTTGTGAAATTAATAATTCAATCTTATTAATCATTTAGATGGATTCCTCGTTAGATTCAAGCAGACCAGGTCTTTTTGTACCAATACCTGATGGTAGAACAAATTTTCGATATATTGAATATATGGGAGATCCAGAATTACAACCAGTTCGTTCGAACGAGTGTGCTTTTCTAGTTAGAAATTTATATAAATTTTGCACTAATATTAATACAAAGGTAATATATTTTGTTTTATAATACTGTCAAATGTATATAGATTATTTCAATAACAATGTTTGTTTTTATATTTAGTATCAACACGAGATAAATACATTGTACAAAAAACACAATTTTCTTGGAAGTATTTGTCGACAAATACTTATACCACCAACCACAGTTATTAAACTACCAAAAAGAACGGCGAATGGTTTTACAAGTGGTCATGAAGAACTTATACCACCTAGATTGAGTTTAAGACGATTATCCAATTATAGTTTCTTGGTTTTTATGTTTGTTAGTATGTCTATAGCACGATTGACAAAGTACGTATTATTTTGATTATTGTTGTTAGTTATTAACATATTTTATCATAATTCTTCATTAAGAAATTATTTCAATATTCTTTTTCTTTGTTCTGCTTCACAGTTATGGAGTACTATGGTTATTGTGCATAATATTTTTTATATGGTCCATCTATATATTGATACGAGCAATTTTCGAACCATGGTTCAAATCAAGTACAAATACCTTTAGACCAAATACAACTGCTTTTTCAATAAACTAATAAACGAATAATCTATATTTGTAAAAAGAAGAAAAGAAACAAAAAATAATCAATTAATTTATATATGTATGTGGGAATGATTCCATAGAATGCTGAAAGAAGAAGAAGAAAAAAAAACAGTCATTAGTAAAATATAGTAATTAAATAATTTTTGGGATGTATATAAAATTAGTTTGATATTAATAATATTAACAATATTATTTATACACAATATATTTTTGTGTAAACTTTTTAACAAATTATTAGCATTGACTAAGGAATAAATTAATCAAATTTTGTATAACTATTGTTGAAAGGAATTATTAATAAAAAAAAAAAAAAAATAATAAAATGAAACTGTGGTAAAACAAAAACAAAAAATAAATAATCAATCCCAAATCTTCAGTTAAGCCATTGGTAAAGAGTTATCTTGAAAATGGGATATAATTTATTGCTGTAGAAGTATCATTATTCAATCAATATTACATACATACATACCATCAATTATGATTTCTTCTGTTAGTCGTATTACGTATACAGATCTGTCCAACAGAACGTATGTGTACATATGTACTTTGAATGCGTATATACATGGGATACAGTAGTTCGTTAACGTCGATATTGTGAAAAATACGTTGCAAGATCTGACGAAAATTGTACCCTTTCCAATCCGAATCAATTACCGTTGTAAGATTATTGAAATATTACAACATATATATTCCATTTTAGATTGAACAATAAATAATGTTGGGATTTTTAATTATTTATGTTTCAATTAATAATACTAATTACTTTTCTTTTTTTAATTAAAAATTTGTTTTAATATTTTATATGTAAATTCAAATGTAAATTATTATTATTGCGTATATTGTATTATGAAATATTTATATATTTATTAGTATACTTTTATATATATAATAAAGTGTTTTATTATTTACTTTCTTTGTAATTATTAGAAAAATGTGCGCCTGTATGTATGCAACCCTCCAGACACACTTTGAAAATGTTGCGCCATCTGTCGGGACGAAATTTTTGTCTGCCCGAAAGATAGGCAACCCGTCATACATACGTGTATAAACAGTTTTGACTGCAAAAAAAATTCCGTCCCAGTAGATGGCGCTCGCAAGCAACATTTTCAAAATGTGTCTGGAGGGTTGCATACGAATCAGGCGCACATTTTTACAATTAAATCAATAATATAAATAAATAATTACAAATTAATAGTACAAATAATATTATAATAATATTATATAATAAATTATCGTCGAAATTTGTTTGTTTAAAGGTTTCACTTCCAACTTGTGTGATATTTTTATATATTCATTTTATTTTATATCGTTGTATACATATATTTATCTGTAATCTTTTTAATACTAGGAAGAATAGATAAGCCTCATCGAAATGCCATTTATTAACAAGCACAGCTGCACCTGTTCATTTGTCAATTTTTTTTCTTTTTTTTTTTTTTTACTAAAAAAAAAAAAGAGATTAGAAGGAAATAAAAATGATGGGTTAAACAAATATTTAAATTAATACGAATTTTTGCCATTTAAATAATAATTATTTTAAATGTGTGATATATCTAATTTCTCTTAATTTCAATCTTCCTGTAAAATAGAAAACAAAAAAAAACAGAAACAAAAACAAAAAAAATTACTTTAAATCAGTCTAATTTTTTCTACTGTGCAATAAAGTTTCGTACTTTTATTAGCAACTGTATGGCGCTTAACGAAGGTGTACTCTTTATCAACGAGATACCTAATCTCGAGTAAATTTTCATTTAACAAAAAAAAAAAAAAGAGAAAAAAAATATAAGAGAGAGAAAAAAAAAAGAATTCTTTCTCAGGTATCTTTGAAATTGATATTAATTCAAATGAATAAATATATTTCATATACTTTTAGTTAATATTCGATCAAATTTGATCAAAATTTAACCAAACATTTGATAACATTAGAGACTAATTAAAAAAAATAAAGAGATTACATTAAGATAATTGATGGGTGAAAATTCATAAGAAGAAAAAAAAAAGGAATAAATTCCTAACGTATGGTAACCATGGTAAAGAAAGAAAAAAAAAAAAAGAAAAAATCAAATAAAATCTCTCACATAGAGGTAAATGAAAACTTGAAACCTCGAGAGTACCTACGTGGTGGCATTTTACGTGCGCGAGACCTTTTAATTGGATCTCGCAAAGTTGTCACAGGATACGATGACAGAAATTTGTAATACTTTCAGATGCGAATAAGCTTACCCCAAAAGAAAGAAAGAAAGAAATTTCCTTGTGGTTACTTTTATTAGAATTTTCTTAAAGAAAGAAAAAAAATAAGAGAGAGAGAGAGAGAGAGAGAGAAAAATAAATCCCAAGACATTTCAATCTTTCGTAGATATGAAATATATTTGTTTTTTCATTTGTCCCAGGACACAGATATGAACGAATAAAAAAAAAAAACATATCAAACGTCATATTTAAATCTGAAAAAATATTATTTCAATATTTTACCGATCGATATTATCATCTTTTTAATATAATGTATAATATATGTATAAATCGAATAAGAGTGAATTGAAATTTGTCGTTCGTAATATTTCTTTAGAAATTATTATTATTATTTGCTTAAATTTTTTTTTTCATAATCATTGAAGTCGTGTCTATTCGTTGTATCAAGACGAATAGCTGAAGAGATATTCCACCTGACTTGGTACGACACCATCATCACCATTAGATATATTAACCCATTACAGTTGATTTTCATTCGAGGTTTCCGTAACACGAACACGACCTATTTTCAATTGAAACTTTTTTTCATTTGAACAAGAATCAACAATATAATGTTGTCTTCAAAAAAAAAAAACAAAAAAAAATCACAAGAAGAATTGATAAAGTAAAAAAAGTAAAGTAAACTAATTGATAAAGTATGCAAATTTTATATGATTTATCCATGGTGTTAATACGAATTTCTTATATTATATTATATATAATATATAATATATTAATTTGTTATAGAATAATTCTAATATATAATAGTTAATTCTAATATATAATAGTAATTCTAATATATAATAATTCTAATATAGAATAATTCTAATAATAATATATTAATTGTTATAGAATATATAATATAAAATATTATATATTAAATAATAATATAAAATATATATAAATAATAATATATAAAATATTATATATATATATTATATAAAATAATATATATATATATATATATATATATATATATACTATATATTTAACTAACTATATTATAATATTAACTAACTATACTATAACATATATATATATATATATATATATATATATATACTATATATTTAACTAACTATATTATAATATTAACTAACTATACTATAACTAACTATATTATAATATTAATGAACTATACTATAATTAACTATTACTAACTGTATTTTAATATTAATTAACTATACTATAACTAATTATTACTAACTGTATTATAATATTAACTAACTACAATTTTGTAATAACAGATTATTATTGCAATTAACATGTAGGACTAGTTTTGCAAAATATAATTTTAGTATATAATATCAATGAAATTAATAATAAAAAGAAAAAAAAATACAGTTTCCAATAAAAAGTTATTTACTTCTTTTATACATGTCCCTTTTTTTTTTAAATAACTATATAATTATAATACTATAAATATATATATATATATATATATAACTCTATCTAAACTATATAATAATAATAATTAATTATACAAACACATAACTTGGAAAAATGAACTAAACAATCAGATAATTATACACAAAAACCTTATTTTAATTGTGAAGTATGATTATCATCACTATCACTTTTTTCACTAAATCCATAGAACTATAAATCCATAACTATTAAGACAAATATATTGTGTTAATTATTCTTCTTTCTTATGGTAAAAAGATGATCGAGAATAAACCAAGAGGAAAGAAGTTTAAAGGAAAGAATCATTGAATTTCTTCAACGTGCCTAGACGCGTGGTCTTTATGCAATGTCAAACGCTCTCTTGTGGACTAGTTAAGGACAATGAGTTCATCTGAATTGTCTCCAATGGGCTTGTTCACCGTTCGTTAAGGCTTACACATACCTGTTTATACGTGTGTGTATGTATGTGTCTCACTTTAAGTCGATGACACATACCTACACGTTTTTGTCATTGTGTCAAAATCATCAATCATCAATCGTCTGGTCACATATTACTTTCTACATATAATTACTTCCTCTTTTTGATATTTTAATATTCGAGTTATGTGTGTTACCATTACTAAAAGTAATTAAACTTATACATATACATATATATATATAATATAATATAATAAAATATATTATATTATTATAATATATAATATATTATTATTAATTATAATGATATTATAACATAATATTATATGACAT